TTTGGTGTAATAAGTATCAACTATTCGATTATTATAACAACAATGTATAATCTACTGTGTTCGTTGATTTTGGTTTAAAAATTAATTAGTCAGGAACCAACACTTAATTGAACTTTAAAAGCGTTTGTAGTATCTWCCACATATCCCAAGAGAATGGGCATTGTAAGTAATTGTAAAACTTAAAAATTAGGTATTATACCAAACATCACGCGTGTGCGTCTGAATTTTATTTGTGATGTTGGATACTTGTAATTTTATATTATTAAATTAAGAAGTTTTACACAAAAAAAACATATCGGTAGCTTTACAAAAAACAAATGTTCAGACGATTTCTGTTATTTATTAAATACGACGTGACGATGACGATCTYAAACAGAATTACAAATTGTTACAGAATACCATGAACTTCCAATATTAAATATACTATAATATAATATAGCTATTATATATAAGATCGAATATAGCGTAATGATCACTCCGAAAATGGTAACGTCAAAATAATGTGACAGAATATACTAATTTTATTTAAAACATGTATACTGTAGCTTTAAGTTCCATAAAAGAATTTTTTCTTCACTTCTATTTTTTATGTTTTATACCAGCAGCTTGATATTACCCAAGTTTTTAGATTTTAAGATTTCGTAAAAATGTTGAACGCAAAAACTTTTTGTTACAACTCACGAACAACATTACAAAATAAATACATGTTCGTCAATAAATCATGGACAATCAGGTGCACATGTATAATATGTTTATATGATTGGGTTTAACACGAAAGCTGTAAACAAAAATCATTAATAGGAAAACTTATACATATAACTATTACGACTTATTCGGAGTGAAACTAAACAACGTTTACACTTATCAACACTTATGAGTTACCTGTTTGTTTTACAGTCAACGAGCAATCATTTATATACCTACAGTCCTTTAAAACGAATTATAAGTTGAAGTTTAATCAAAATGTATCGCAATATATAATTTCAACTAGATAATCAATCACGCGTGTACAATTACTTGAAAACACACTGAACATTTGTATCACACTTTTGAATAGGACATCAACCAAGTAGACTACGTCTTATTTTAATTTTATATTATCCTGAGTAAAAATTATAAAATAAAACAGTATAATATTAAATCCTTAGATAACACAATATATTGTATATTATAGGTGCATGTTCGGAACTAGGAGGAAATATAATTTGATTGTAAGTACCTTTGAATTTGAAAGATAGAAATAATACATTATATAATACGTATTTTAACATTTATGAATTTATGAATTCAATTAACAAATTAGTAATATATTATAAGATGTACAAAAGTGTAAGTTTAATCTAAATAAAATGATGCCACATATTTTCGCAATAACTGCCTGCAGTTTATGCGTCCGGTGGAGGTTTTGATTATCTATATAAAGATATCATCGTGTTATTTTATTACTATCCCATTTTTTTTTATATATAACATTTATACCACGTAAAAAAAAATTGACAGACCTCACTGTCATTTCAGAACACACGTATTGGATATTCGTGATATACATAATACGCATTTTTATTATTTTGAGTTTTCAAGCTATAATACTATGAATCTATAATAAGTGACATACGTATGTGTTTGAACCTATTCAATTTTCATAT